TACTATTAAATTATACAATTTTGGATGGAAACACAACAAATGATGTCTAAATGCAGAAAAAAAAGAAACACAAAGAAAACGTTTGCATTGTTAGTACATCATTGTTGCTGAAAAATGAGTAAGCTGCTGTTCTTTGTTAATACCCTGTCAGATGCATATTTACCAGTGGGACCGCAGGTTGTGAGGGATCCAGTCGTGGTGTCGGAGCAGTGGAATACATGTAATTGAAGAGGCGATCGATCTTTCGTAATGGGACGCCCCCACCTTTGTCACTAATCTAAGAAGACACGTATGAATCAAATGAATAGAGCACAGCTGGTACAGTTGGTTTTGTTTTAGGTAAGTCTCCATGTAAATAATATTGTTATGAAATAACCTTGATGGAGAGGTCTTCTTTTCCCAAAGTAACCATTGCTTTGACTGGAGGAAGACCCTCACTGCTGTTTTCATACAGCTCCACTGTGGCTCGCATTGAATTCTACACAAACACACACAACAAATGAAGTAAAACCCACTGAAAATGTGATCATCTGACAAGCACATCACTGCATCCCATTTTAACATTTAAACATCTACAAATGTGGACACCTTTTTGGAGACACTTTATAACAAGTTTGAATTTGCTAACAGTAGTAAATGTAATAAGCAGAATGGACTATCAATGAAAATACTTTTCCCACATCTATTAATATTAGTTGTAAGTAATTTCCACATATAGCCTATTACTTTTTTTGTACATCGATTAGATATTAGTAGGGATGTAACAATACTGTAAATACCGTCATACCGCAATAGTAATTTTTTTCGATATTACCGTAGGCGCATGACTCAATAAAACTATATTTCTGAGAAAAGTTTGCTTAGGCGAATGAAGCGAACGGGAGGTAGCGGGAACTACAATTCCCATCAGCCTAGGCGTGGCCATCATCCTTTGCGGTCTGTTGTCACTACAGATCCAGTAATGCGGAAATGGAGTGTGTTGCTAGTAGGGGGGAAGAAAAAGAGCTGGAAATGATCGAACCTAAAGCGGGTTTTAAATCGGATGTGTGGAAGCATTTCGGTTTCTTTCTAAAACGATACGAAAAAGGAGAAAAGGTGACAGACAAAGAAAAAAACAGTATGCAGGCACTGCCAGACTGTGGTGAAATATAAGTCGGGGAATACGACTAAAAACAGTCATGGGGACTGCAGAACACAGCACACTTGTTAGATTGATGCAGACATTGACTTGTACCGTAAAGAGACCTCTATCTCACTCATGGCTTGTCCTCTCAAGTGGTGAAAAGACAATGCACAGCGTTACCCACTTATGTCAACCTTGGCTAAATCATATCTCTCTGTCCCAGAAACCTCAGTCCCAAATGAGAGGGGTTTTTCTGTTGCAGGGGACATGCCCAGAGATCCCAGCTTTTACCAGATTATAGTTATATGATAATTTTCCTTAAAAAACCCATCTCTATCTCAGTGAGTGAGTGATTAAATGTTGAATGTGATGAGTTTTCAACAATACTAAATTGAAACTTTATTTTCATATATATAGTTTAATAGTTTTTTGCTATTAAAATTGAAGTTCCTGTTTCGAAACGTACAGATAGATGGCTAATTTGTATGTCATTAATATGTTCAGTGCTAAGGTAAATAAACACTTTTGGCACTTTTTTCGAGTCTTTTCATTAGTTTTGTTTTTCCTGTAAATTATTCAATAAATACCGTACCGTGCCATTCATACCGAGGTATTACCGTACCGTGAAATTTTGATACCGTTGCATCCCTAGATATTAGATATAGATTAGGAAATTTTTCACATAATTTATTCATCTATTTATCACATAAATGCAGACTTTATTTAGCTAGGTTAATATTTGCTTCATATTAGAAAAAATACATAGATATTTCAGTTATTTTTGGCTGCATTTTATTAGTTTTATTTTAGCTAGATTTTTTGTAATCATATGGGAAAAGGCTGTGTTTTTAGGTCAATAAAGCATTTAGTGCAGCAATTCTGTTACGTTTCATTTACATAACGTTCTCATCTAAAATAGGTCCACACATTCACACGAACAAAATGTCAATACAAAATGTAGAGTTTGTAGTGCTCATTATAAAGTGTGCCATGTTTTGTTGTTTCTTTTCGAGCATTGAACAGTCTATTTCTCTTGCCTTAAAGAGCTCAAAGAGCATGTGGAAAAGATGAGAGGGAACATAGACCGCCTGGACAGGCTTCTTGGGATTTTTTGCTACAAGACAGAGTAAGATAACACAAGATAGCACAGTTATGTGATTTAATAAACATTTTGTAGTGGATGCTATTGACTTAAACAGATAACACACACAGTTGAATTCCCCGATCTTCAGTTCAGGAGCCATCATGTAGTACTGCTCACAGAGCATCTTTGCTGTCTCGTATGCATCTGACAAGAGAGATCGCACCCTTCAGAACAATTTTTTAATTTTCTGCATATGTGTTTTAAACTGGTTTAATCTCACCTCTCACCACCTCAGCCACGTTGCAAGCTGGGTCGATGCTCCCGATGTGTTTCGGTTGTGCAAGACAAGCGGCATCACCAAACAAAAGAGCTGCAACAGAGTTTACCCTGTACTGAGGTTCAATTTTTATGTTGATTAGAGACATATAATCAAATGAACACCAAACAAACAAAAACTGCAGTTAAAAATGTTTTATACAGAATTCAGAAACTATTTGTGCACCAGTGGCCACTAATTGAACTCTCCCATACATGCTAGCGAAACAAAACTTACACATTTACAAATTGTCATGTCAAAACTAGAGGAAAAAAAAATGGGACACATTTTAAAACTCTGAACATTTATCTAACCACAGCACAAGTACATTTATGTCTGAAGTTAATTGAAGTGTCTATTTAAAGATGCCATAGAATGAAAATTTGGCATAGCAGAATATCAAGAGTTCTATTCATTAAAATGGCATAGTGAGAACCTCAAACAACCATTATTTCTACTGTATAATCCTAGTGAAAACACCCCAATTCTGTGAAGCAGGCAGCCATACATGACCATGGAGTCTCATCCGCGTTCATTGTATATAAGAAATGTGGAGTAAATATATTAAGTTGAACCATGTTATAAATGTATCTAATGCCACCCCAAAGAGGCAAAAGGTCTGTTAAAGTGTATATTTTGTCATTTTAACGTGTACATTGTGAAAATTATCGGTAACACTTTATAATAACTACACACTATGAGTCATTTACTAAACATTAGCATCTAGTGAATTCATTATTTGTTAAGCATTAACTCTACATTAATAAACGTTAGTAAGCAGTTTATAACTGCAGCTACAAATGCTCTATTCTTGACTTATAAGCACCTATATAATGTGCTTAATAATTGTATTTTCATACTTTGTTAATGATTTATTTTTCATTACTAAATTAAGTATCGCATTATTTACAAACAAGTTGTATTTAAGAGTAGTTGAGGGTTTTTAGGATCATTCAGAATGAGTTAGTAAATGATTAATAAACTATTGAAATCAACATTTATATCTTATTATTCAGGCATATATTAATAGTTAACTAATATGTTAATAAATGCTTTATTAACTCAACTTCATGCAGTTTTGTGACCTAATCTAAAGTGAGGACTATTCATGCTTTATAAATCCCTAATAAATTACAATTACAGGCTCAGAATCAAATTAACAATAATCATTGCAATCTTTTCTAAAAAGTAAAATTACTGTAAAGTTTAAACGTTGCTGAATAACAGGCGTGTCAAAATACAATATAAAACTGGATAAAACAACAACAACAATATAATAATTTAACAATATAATAAGATGCAATGTTTGAACTCTACAGTGATTTTATTTTAGATAAGCTTGCAAAGATTTATTTTTCATTTGAAGTACAGTTTCATTTGTGTATCTTTAAATGAATAGGTAAGAATAATGTCATTTTTCCTGTTTAGAATTTAACTGAGCCTTTATTTGTCATTTATAAGGGATTTATAAAGCATGAATAGTCCTCACTTTAAATTTGGTTACAAAACTAGATGAAGTTGAGTTAATGAAGCATTTATTAAAATACATAGTAACCATTAATATATGCCTGAATAATAAGGCATATAAACGTTGATTTCAATAGTTTATTAATCGTTTACTAACTCATTCTGAATGATCCTAAAAACCCTCAACTACTCTTAAATACAAATGGCTTGTAAATAATGCGATACTTAATTTAGTAATGAAAAATAAATCATTAACTAAGTATGAAATTACAATTGTTAAACACATTATATAGGTGCTTATAAGTCAAGAATACAGCATTTGTAGCTGCAGTTATAAACTGCTTACTAACGTTTATTAATATAGAGTTAATCCTTAACAAATAATGAATTCACTATTTGCTAATGCTTAATAAATGATTTATAGTGTGTAGTTATTATAAAGTTACCAAATTATCCAATTTGTTTGTAATGGGGCAGAAGACACGTGTGTATTATTGAATTGAGGGTACACATGTAAACTGCTGATTGTAAGTGTTTAATGCACCTTTATGCATTGTGTCATATCACTCAGCTCTTACACTGTATAAAACCCAAATGTTTAAGTGGAGGTTGATATTATTTCCTGCCTGCGTTTTCATTTACATTAAAACTACAACACACAGCTCTAAATAGAGTTCTGTTAAGTACTTATAATTTATTTCCTTCACAAAACATTTCAGGAGCAGGTTAATCTGGTGGCTTAAATGTATTTCACTCACTCCTTCTATCCAAAACAAATCTCTTTTCCACATTTAACAAGGAATCTAGGAATAATCAAGGAAGTATGATTATTTTACACATGTGTATTTGTGAGTACATCATGCTGTGTTTGTAAGCAGACACTGACAACAGCAACTTGAGCATCAGAGCAGAACTCATTATTATTCGATACCCTTCCAAATATGGTCAAAATCTACAATATCATATTAGGGCCAACAATGTAAATAGACATAAAACAAAGATTTTCTGGATTTTTTTTTTTTTTTGCAATTTCCTCAGCCACAAACATTCCATTAAGAAATCAAAGAACAATTTAACATAATTGCATCAATGCATTCTGTGGCACCTTTAAAATGAGACAAACTATTAAATTATTATTTTAATCTCCAGTATGTTATTTAGCAGTTTAGACAGTTCTTTAATGCTTTGCTAACTGAATCCATGGCCACATCTGTGTGCTACGACCATAGTGTAGTGTGTTCATCACAAAATAGTTGTTTTTAAATCCTTAAAACTTTTTTTCATTTGATAAAACTGATCGATTTAAAACTGTACTATGGTCATGTTACAATGTGCCACTCAGATGTTAAAATGTGCTTTGCCAATGGAGCATGCTTTTACATTTTACATTACATTTTAAATAATGAAAAAATAAGTATACGCTGTAAATTGAAACCCTTGTACTAGACAAATGTAAAACTGATTTATGAAAGATTGATACCCTGAACGCAAACAAAGGAAGTCAAAATGTGTTTATCCCCTACTTTACATTCACCATCACATCACATGATTGCGCGGCGTCTCACTGTGCTGGTTGATGAGCATGCGGAAAGAAATGCGGTTGGTGTAGAAGCGGTCTAGAAAGTACTGCACGTTGCTGCTGATGAAGGGGTCAAATCCAAACTTCTCTTTGTATTCAATGACGCCCTGAGCCATAGTGGGCACCACGTCATTGTGCCTGTTACGAATCTTAATCAACATCTCTAAGAAGCTGAAACACATTGAAGATCAGAGCCCATCCAAATTAATATAATTTTTATTATTATTATTATTTATTTTTTAATGATGCAATTTTCTAAATTTAATATAGCTTCTAACCATGCATTTTACTGCAAATTTACATGTTTGATAAAAATGATAATAAAAATAAGTTAAAATAAAAATAGTTTTTCATATGCAGACTCACTCATTAAGTGTGTGAGGATCCTCTGGACTTCTTTTCTCAAACTTTAACAGCTCTTCAAAGCTCTGGCTGTACCTGATATCACAGAAAAGACATTACTTAATACAAGACTTGTTTTGAAAGATTTGATTACACTTTAAAGAATGGCTCTTCACTACGTTAAGGCTCATAATAACCACTGGGTGGCGCAATTGCCTCAAAAACACGTTCAGCACATTCAAAATGTTTAGTTTAAAGCAGTGATCACCAAATTTGTTCCTGGAGGGCCAGTGTTCTGTAGATTTTAGCTCCAACCCTAATCAAACACACCTGAACAAGCTATTTAAGGTCTTACTGGGTATACTTGAAACATCCAGGCAGGTGTGTTGAAGCAAGTTGGAGCTAAACCCTGCAGTGACACCGGCCCTCCAGGACCAGGATTGGTGACCCCTAGTTTAAAGGGATAGTTCATCCATAAAATAAAAGGAAGCACACACTATTTACTCCCCCTCAAGTGTTTCCAAACATCCAAACCCAAAAGAATATATTTTGAAGAAATCCAAAAACCTGTGATCACCGACATGCAAAGTAGGATAAACAAATACTATGGAAGTCAATGGGTACCAGTTTCCAGCATTCTTCAAAAGATCTCCTTTTGTGTTCAACAGAAGACATCAACTCAGAGAGGTTTGGAACAAGTGGAGGATGAGTAAATCATCACAGAATTATCATTTTTGGGTCCTTTTAACATACATGTACTAACTATTTCTACAGTTTAAAATACGTTTAAAAAGTCATTTAAAAAGGGAGAAAGTTAAGAAGTGAAAGGCGGGTTTTTAAGCATCAAACAAAAGTAAGTCAGCCTTAAATGTTCAAATCTGATTTAATTCTATCAGAAAAACACTATAAAACATCCATACATGCGTTATTTACAGATAACACCAACAAAAATGTAATTAAGTAACAAGTCTTTTGCAAAAAAGCTGGGGCGAGGCAGTGGCGCAGTAGGTAGTGCTGTCGCCTCACAGCAAGAAGGTCGCTGGGTCGCTGGTTTGAACCTCGGCTCAGTTGGTGTTTCTGTGTGGAGTTTGCATGTTCTCCCTGCGTTCTCGTGGGTTTCCTCCGGGTGCTCCGGTTTCCCCCACAGTCCAAAGACATGCGGTTCAGGTGAATTGGGTAGGCTAAATTGTCCTAATGTTTGTGTGGATGTTTCCCAGAGATGGGTTGCGGCTGGAAGGGCATACGCTGCGTAAAAACTTGCTGGATAAGTTGGTGGTTCATTCCACTGTGGCGACCCCGGATTAATAAAGGGACTAAGCTGACAAGAAAATGAATGAATAAAAAAAGCTCTATTTAAGGATCAAGGCACAGGGCCAAAATACTATTAATTTTTGCCACTATGCCTTAAAGGTGCAGTAGGTGATTGTCTTCAGAAGCATTTTTGTTGTGCTGGTTCAAAGTCTCTTCACAGTCTAATAGTAATGATTAAAGTAAATGATCTAAATGTACTTATATGTATTTTTATATTTTGGGTAAGGCATAAAACAAAAAAAATGTTCATCCAACTAAATAGAGTCTGGCCGACGTCTCTCATAATTCCGATAAGTAGCCCAATCTGTCTGTCAGCAAATGCAGATTTGAACTGCACAGCCGTTTGTACGCAGCTCCGCCGACCGCCAAAAGTTCACGAGAGAGATCGATAAAAACCTGCTGAATCAAAACTTTTTAAAAACCTGAATCAATATTGGAGTTACCTTTGCACGCTGGAGAAAGGATGACAATTGCTGAAGGATTTGTCTTAGACAGGTAATGTTCTGTTTTAAAACTGTTAGCTTCACGCAAAGCTGATGTAACGTTAGATGTTGTTGTTACAAATGGGTTATATCTTCACAGAAGTGTTGTTCAGCCACTAAAATCTTCAGATGAAAGATTGATAAGACTATTTTCAGTTTCATAAGGAACCTTTTACAGCATCGATAATGTAGATTTTAATTAGTTTAACAACAAAACACAAGTAAATACTGCTATTTCGCCTAGTCTCTCCCTTTATTGTTTACCATGCAACTCTAAATATTCGCTCTGAAATTGCATGTCAGTTTGGCTTGCTCACCGCCAGACAAGCACTAGTCGCTTTTAATAAATGAGAGAGGGTTCTTTTGCTGTGGTCGTATTTAAGATGTCCCCCTGACCCTGAGTTACCATTTTATTTTTCTAAATAGCTTATCTGTCATTATTAGCTAGGCGGTGCATTTTGTTGCAGTGGAAGTCTCCTCAAGCCCAATCCCATACTCAGTGGATTAAAGATGCCTTATTTTTTGTTAAATTAGAAAAAATTAAACATAGTCTTTGAGGTTCAGTGGTCAAATTTTCTAATATTTGGTTGCCATTTTTGAAACATGTCAAATCTCTGAGACTTGAGGCAATTACTGTGGAGTGAATGGTTGCCATTCTTGCATTTTTGTTTTGATCTGTGCTTCCAGTTGGGTATTAGTGCTGCTGATATAGCACAAACATACAACTTTTTCTTGACATAAAACCACAAGTTTTAAGAATGTGCCACCCCCAGCCTATTTAGTTTAATACATTTTCCCTTTTCTCTCGCTTTTTTTATTTATTTTCTATTTTTTTATTTATTTATTTATTTTATTATTATTGTTTATTTTAATTAATACACCATGCTGTCAACCTCAACGTTTGGTACAGACCTGTTTATATGCTCAATTTGAAAATTGATTTATGCACATCATATAGTGTTTATGCATGTCATATACTGTGTGTCGCACAATGTAAGGGTTATAGTGTGGTTTATTTTTATTTTTTTAATCACTGTTGTGCTGTTATATATGAGCAATTCCATGAAAATGTCAACCTTGCCATGAAAAGAAAAATGTTTTCACCAAAATAGCGAAACCGTTTCTACATTTTTTGCGCAGGCAAGTGTTTTACAGTACTTTAAATATACTTAAAAATGTCTCTGTCAATGTTTTCAAACTATTATATTTGATTTACCAAAGTCAAAGAATTGGCAATTTCACATTTGTCACATCCATAACGAAAAAGTGTCACATCCATAACAAAGCTTTTCCCTCAAAAATGCTAAAATGTCAAAATAAAATAAAATCAATCAGTTTTGTTCAATAAAGAGCCAACTCTTATCCTTTTGTTGAGCATTATTTATTTTGGGTTGTGCAGTTTAATTCACAGAATTTCTACAAAATATGTTGTATACTGTAAACTCGCAGACTTTTTTTGTCACATCCATAACGCTTGTTTATTTTCCTCATTTAAAGTATAAAAATGTTCACAGATTGAATTTTTTTGATCCCATAACTCTGTGGTTAGTTGTTTTGGAAAATATAAACAGATGGTTCAATATAATGTTAACGTATACTTTCACTGCGAATTTATGTTTTGAATTTTTACTGCAAATGTCACATCCATAACGCTGGAATCAGCCATATATATTTTTCTGTTTGTACTGTTATTGTCTCTTTTTACTTTGTTTATTAACTGTCAAAAAAATCTAATAAATAAATCTTAAAAAGAAAAACACAAATGTTACATTTTGTGTTTCCCTTTATCTTCCTGATACCATTTGCAGTTCAGTATTCCCGGAATTCACTTCCACCTGACATTTAAGTTCTGCTTTATAACCTTCACGATTCCTATGCTGTCACATATTGCTTCAGGAGACTCACTCTGTCTGAGCACACTGTTTACTCACAGCTCACACTCATCATCATCATCATCCTCATTATCATCATCACACCTGCCTTCCTCACCAGGACTCCACCAGTTTGACAGACGGCTGGATCTGGAGACTGTCGGGCAACAAGGTGACTTCCCTCATCGTATTGGCCAACCTCACCGCCAGTTCTTTCCGCAGAAACATGTAGGAGGTTTTTTCACATGCGTTTTCCCTGCCTGGTTAAACAAGAAGCAAGAACAAGTTAGTCTTTGTTTTCCACTGATGTGCTTCTGTATGCATGAGTGTGCAATTCTGCAGCAGGATTACAACTATTGCATAACGCCGAAAAACGAACAAGACACAAACAAGTCATCAGAAACAAAATCAGCAAAACGATCATCACCATGACTGAGGATTTCAGAATATGCTGATCTTCTGGGAGTTTCACACACAACCATCTTTAGTGTTTAAAGAGAATGGTCTGAAAAATGAAATGGGTGAAAATACTGGAAAAAAATGATTTTGGGTGAAAATGCCCTGTTGGTGCCAGAGGTAAGCGAGGAATGGATCACTAGACTGAATCAAGCTGATGACAGGTAACTCAAATAACTACTTGTTACATCCGAAGAGTATCTCTGAACCCTTCCTTTGGAGAACTTCGAGGACAACACAAATATTTATTACACAAATACACTTCATTAAACATGTTTTATACACATAGACATCACCTTTATGCAAGGACACAATATACTGTAAAACCGCAGCAGGTTAACTATATTTATATAATTTCCAACTGATACACAACCAAAGACTATACAATACACAAGGCATGCATGTCACTCTTGTAGTTTTCAATGGGGAAAAGTGTAATGGTCGATATAGCGAATGAATCCCCGCCTACAAGTACAGAAACATATCATCATCAGACTGAAGTTTCTCAGATGGAGGGACTTGGACCAGACATGTGCTTTCATGACTGCAAGGTTTCCTCTGGGGTCAGTAAGTGCACGGGAATCACAGTGAATACCTGCTTCACAGACATGAGAAATATTTCCACGTGAAGCTTGAAATCTGTACTTTTACATGAACCAGCTACACACTAGAAAACAAATGTCACTCATTTTGGGATGGTGTTTTGCCATCAAGACCAAGTTGGGAATTCTTCCATGAGTTCAGCGTGATCAGACGCCGAATTATTCGTCCAATTATTATGTTTTATTCATTTAGAAACAAAATTTAAGAGACAGCTGATGTTTAACTTTAATTTTGATTCCAAATATGACATTTGATCATTAGCTTGGCAAACAGTTTTAGAGAATTTGATGTTTTCCCATTAAAAAATAATGCAAGAGCATACTGCACGAGAGACGTTTTAAGAGTTCACACCAACCCAAGCTTATTCTGAAAACGTAGTCCCGCGGACGTTTCTGGAGACAGCGGAATACATCCTGGCAGGTACGTACGGCCGCGTTAATTTTTTTCAAGCGAACGCTGCGGTGCGGTGTGACGCTGTTCCCTATTGCACTTGCCGGCCGGCCGACCAACCGCTTACCTCCTTGAGGAGGGCTTCCCTGCTGCAACCCATTTGTCCACTCAGCTCACTGTGTACGTCGGCAGGCTCGAGATGCGGAGAGGAGTCGACCACGGCGATCAGTTTTGAGTCCAGGGAAAAGCGGTTCCAGCAATCAGGTAAGACAAAAACAGAATCCCAAAAATTAAGTGAACGAGTTTTGTAACTAGGTGAGAACGCGGTGAAATCCGAAAACGCGGTAGAAAAAAAAAAATCAGGGCTTTTATTTTTTGGACGCCTTTTTGTAAACTGTTGCTCGGGTTTAGGGAAGCGAGCGGGCGGACGGGTCGATCGGTAAAATTGGTTGGGTTCAGGGAAGGAGGAGGGCGGGTCGGCCGATTGGCCGGTCGCGCAGTCAATCATCTGGTCAGTCGGACAGCGGCCTCTGGTGGGTTCACGCGAGAACAGCACGGGCGCGAACCGCACTCGCGAGAGGCGCCTGAGATGTGAAAAAGCGCACAACAGCGGCCTCTCGCGGATTTGCGAAAACAAAAACTGCAGCCGTACGTACCCGTCGGGACGTATTCCGCGGTCTCCAGAAACGTCCGCGGGACTACGTTTCCACAATGAGCCCCGGTTGGTTCTCAAACATGATTGATGATAAAGCTTGTTTGGCATGCTGTCCTGGGAGAGCGCCCTGAGCTCATAAGTTCCTTGAGCCTGGGGCTCCCTCCCATTTGTTAGGTGAGAGGGAAGTTTGAGCTCAGGTAGATCTCGAGAACTCCCCTGCTGTAGTAGCTAATGTACAGATAGTGATTGCTCTTAAGAGATAACTACTTACTTCTATGGTGCCAATTTGGATTAGTCAATTAACTTAAGTTGCATGTTGTTGGATGGTGGGAGGATACCAGGGAACCCAGGGGAAACCCACGTGAGCACGGGGAGAATGTGTAAACTCCACCAAGAAATGCAGCTGGCTTGGTAAGGACTAGAACCAGTCACGTTCTTGCTGTGAGGCAACAGTGCTAACCACTGGGCCATCGTGCCTTCCATCTAGGAAAGGAGGAGTAGGGGTGGAAGGGGGGATTCTTCGAAACTAAGATGGCTGTTGTTTGGAACTTAGGGTATTTATAGTGGCTTAGGAATCGTCTGATTGGTCAATCATAAAATGAATAATGCAGAACCGGCTGCAAGCAATCATAAGCACGTGATCCTCTCGAAATTAGTTTATAAATCAACTTCACTTCAAATATGGCCGCCGATACACTTAAATCTTTTTCTGGATTAAAACGTGAGTATGATATTGACAATAAAGATTACTTAGACACCTAATAAATGATTTCCTTGCAAAGGGTCTCACTGGAATCATCTAAATTAGAAAACATTCTAGAGAATACTTCAGTGTTGAAGGAAAAGATATTGGAGATATTTGCAATATTAAGAGAAGAAGCTGAGTCTTCTTTAATATCATTAAAAACGCATGGAGAAAAGATCTTGGTTGTAATGTTGATGATGATCAGTGAATGTTGTAAACAAATGTATATCTTTTTCATTTTCTAGTAACAAAATAATTGAACTAAATTACAAATTTATACAAAGAATATATATCTGACCTCAGCTCGCCTCAGTAGGATATATCCTCGCCTTTATGTAATAGATGTAAGAAACATAAGGGCACCATTATGCAAATGTTCTGGAACTGTAAAAAACTAAATGAGTTTTGGGATAATGTACATGAGTTTTCTGTGATATAGTCTAAGGATAAAATTGTCACAAGAAGACTCCTTTAATATATCTTTTTGGGGGGGATCTGAGTGAGGTATCAGACTCTTTTTTTACCAAAAGGGTAGGTCTGATTTCTTATGTATTTAAGAAATGTATTCTGTTAAACTGAAAACAGGAACTCCCTCCAACATTTGAATTATTTAAAAATATCATAAATTACACACTTCATTTGGAATATTGAACATACAGCTTAAAAAAACACATATTTTTACAAACCTGGAATATTTTTATGGACCCTTTATGAACCCTTTGACCTGTGCCTTCATCATACCCATAGTTATCACACTGACACTGATTCATTTGCTGTTGTTTGATTCCTGTTTGAATCTAGTAACATAATCTGGATTTGTTGATGTACATGTTTTTATATTTGTATACTCTGATGTACTTACTGTAATGCTGAATAATCTTTTTGTCAATTGTGCAGTTTGTTATATTGTAAAATTATAAATAAATAATTAAAAAAAAAGATGGCCTCAAATTGAAATGGCCAATTAAAACTTTTCTAATTTTGACTGTAATGTACCTTTTTATGAAGCTGCTTTGGAATGATAAATATTGTGAAAAAGAATGTACACTTAAACTTGAATTGAATTGAACAAAACAAACACCCAAAAATACACTGCTGTCAGCTAACAATTGAGGCTACGTCTAACTTGGGCACACTAAAACCGAATGGCAAAACATTGGAAAGAATTTGCCTGGTCTAATGAGTCTCGATTTCTGCTGCAACATTCATATGGTTGCCAAAATTTGACCATATCATGAACATCACACATGTGCAACAAATGTGACGCTGTCAGGTAAATGTGAACCAAAACCTGAGGAATGTCTCCAACAAAACTTTGTTGAATCTATGCCATGAAAAACTAAGTAAGTTCTGACGGTAAGGATGGTCAAAACTGACATTAGCATGATATACCTAATATAGTGGCCAGTGACTGTATAATATCAGTTCAAACTTTATTAATAATATTTTCCACATAGTGAAAGAATCATTTTGTAGGCCAAACAATAAAATAACACTACATGAAATTCAAAAATTCTATACAAAAATAAATAAATAATGATAACAGAAAAAACTTTAAACTAAATTTATATTATTGATATGTAAATGACAAACATTAGCGTTCCGTACAATCCAACTTTTCACAAAAACTAAGAAAGTTTCTTTTAAATGCATAATTATGTAGATGAATTTGTCATGTAATGCAATATAAAATTGTTTTTTTTTATTTACTAGATAATATGGGTTTGTTTAATCTGATAGTGTATGATGGGTTTTGTGCAAAATAGAACCACACATATGAATATACTGAGATGACAGATGTAAAGCATTTATTCAAACTAAAACAAGACAAATCCAAACTTATCTTATACTCTACAACAGATCTAATTGTATCTTATACTAAAAAAACAGGTAGCCTTTGCAAAAACTGGACCAACTTCATAAAGTTATGATGACACAACATGATATGTGATGGTGAGTCAGTCTATTTATATTCATCCGATGGTAGTGCTGCTGTGCCAGTAGAGCTTTAGCTTTCACTTGACCTTAACATTCGATGTTAATATATAGCCTATAATATAGTCAACATTTTGATTTTATCAAGCAGAATAATTAGTAAAATTAAGGACTACAGTCACCAAACGCATAAGAATGATCAGACAAATCTACATCAAACAAATAATGCAACGCTTCTTCAAGACTTTGCTGTAATGTTACATTACTCACCGAAATCCAGAAACTGCTTGATTGACATCGGCGAGGGCGAAAACCTCGAATAATACTCGATTTTGTGTGTGACATCTTTCAGTAGGCAGATAAACAGTTTCATGATTTTGAAGTTCGTCTTTCATCGACCACGCAGTCTGAATACGAGAGGCTGAATGTTGTTGTCACTCTTTCGACAGTTCATGATTTATTTCGTTGCTATAACGACAGCCTTGTTGTGCAGTTTATCATCAGGCAGAATCGTGTGATCCGTGTCACGTGACGCGACAGCGCGTGTTATCACTTGTAGGATCCATTACGCTGATAGCAAGATTAGAGATTTAATTTGAAGTAATGGTAAGTTCTTGCCTTAGTTTATCATACGAGGTTCATCGGACACCCATTAATAAGAGATTTGATTGAATCTTTTACTATTTTACTGAAGTTTTTTTTTATTATTTAATATATATATATATATATATATATATAGGGGCGGACTGGGACTTTAAATCAGCCCTGGCACTGTAGCCACACCAGCCCACATTACTACACTGACACAGCCCCATCCATGGACACGCACATTCACTACTTAAATTGCTGTACAGATAGTAAAATAATATAAGCAGTACCATATGTATTAGATATTTAAACATTTAATGTATGTGACTGGAACAAAAATAACCTATTTATAACAAATTTATATATGAAATCATTAATTTTGGCTTTGTCACTTTTTTAACCTGAGATTGCCACAGCAGAATGAACCGCTAACTTATTTAGTATATGTTTTACGCAGCGGATGCCCTCTAAGCTGCAACCCATCACTGCGAAACCCCTATACACACATTTGCATACATGCACTACGGACAATTAAGCCTACCCTATTCACCTATGAGGTGAGGTGAGAGCGCTACCCACTGCGCCACTGCGCTGCCCCCTTTCGAGAATAGTTCAGTTTATTTTATGCATTTGGCAATATCTGATTTTAGAGCTTTTTTTTTTTTCGGCTCTGCTTTTCCTTTTTATGGTCCATCTCTGACAATTAGCTTGTGTTGCACTTACTGTTTGTTTGACATTCTTGACAGATTTTGATTACATTCCGCGTAATCTCTGATTAGGATGGCCCATCTCGAAACCAGCCGGTCGTTGCCAATTGGGCCAATGCTTAACATTTATTATTATTATTCTTACTATTACCATCATCAAAAGCTGCCTACAGGTAAAAACAATACATAAAAAAAATAAATAATAAAATAGCTGACTGGCCCACATTTAAAAAATGGTCCGGCATTTGGCAACGGTCCCGCAAATGGTCCGGCAAAATGATCTGGCATTTGCCATATATATATATATATATATATATATATATATATATATATATATATATATATATATATATATATATATATATATATATATATATATGGCACACAATAAACAGAGCCTTTAATGAACACAATACATAGCAGGTAAATTCTTTACATGAGTAGTATTTATTGCTCATCATTTAAAGTTTTCTGAGCATTAAAGAGGCTATCACAATGTTTATTTTTGTTGCCAATATGTGCAGAGCTTCTTCATTCATTCATTCATTCATTCATTCATTCATTCATTCATTCATTCATTCAATTATTCATTCATTCATTTTCCTTTGGCTAGTCCCTTTTTTTAATCAGGGGTCGCCACAGTGGAATGAACCGCCAACTTATCCAGCATATGTTTTACAAAGCGGATGCCCTTTTGCCTGCAACCCCATACTGGGAAACATCCATACACACATCAGTCACAAACATACACTACGGCCAATTTAGTTTATTAAATTCACCTATACCACATGTCTTTGGACTGTGGGGGGAACCGGAGCACCCGGAGAAAACCCTCACAAATACAGGGAGAACATGCAAGCTCCACACAGAAATGCCTACTGACCCAGCTGGGACTCGAACCAGCGACCATCTTGCTTGCCATAAAAAATAAATATATAAAGCCATACCTTTCCTGGCTGTTATGATCTAATTTAATTGTGATGGATATTTTTGACAGAGGAAAGATGTAATGAGACCCGCATCCAGAAACCTCTTTTCCATTCCATGACTCATTAAACAATTCATATACCGTTCAAAATATCAGCCTAATGCTTAAAACTGTTTATCTACAATGTGTAGATGTCATGTAAATACGAATTATTCATTTAAAATATGACTGCGACTACTTGCACTAATTGCAAACGGCATTCAAATAAATCTTATTCACACAAAGGTGAATGACATGAAAATAGTCACAAATAACAACATGCAGCTATAGGTATAACACAAATAAATTGCATACCTATGCTCTGTAACAGTGGTTTCCAAAGTGGGGGCTGTGATCTTGTCGCTTGGCGATTTCCAAAAATCAAATAAATTTTATTAAACTATTAGAATTACCATATTGTATCCATAACCTACAACATAATTAATAGTAACATTGTTAACATGTTTATGATAAAGATTAAAAACCAACATGCAAATAAAAAGCTTTCAGAGTTTTGATTTACGAGCCCTGGGGTGATTACATTGTATTAAAGACACAGCAAGAGCGTCAGATTTTATGGCACCAGGTGAAACTTTCTGACACCCTTATGGCACTTACGTACATTAAAAATAAATACAGGCCACAACTGAACTTGGAAGATGGTGTCCAGGTATAGTTCTCCAAAATTAAACGACAAATAGACTTGGGCCAATTGGTATGTATGAGCTGTTGTGTGCAAGGTTTATACTCTATATTTATAACCACCTCAAAAAATATTGGGGTTCCAAATCATTGGCATTGTTATTTGGGCAGCCGTGGGCTGAAAAGTTTTTAAACCCCTGCTCTACAACATAGTGGATTCATATACCATAAATTTTAAAAAGAGTAAGTGCACTTTAAATTCCAAAATGCTAAAAACACATGTGGAATGTTGAACACCATGCACCAAATGGTCAAATTTGCTTATGTAGCAGAAAAAGAGGAGCTATCAGCCACTGCAGTTGGGTTACTTTATTTATTTTGAATTTTGTAAGCGATATTCTCTTTAGGTGAAAATTATTATGTTGGCTTGAGAAAGCCAACATACTGTTATACTACTCTGTCCTTGAAAACAAACGTATCTCCTCCTAGGCCGTTCATGCCACAAGGCCTAAATGTGGTCAAAATGTGCCTTCTACATTCAAGATTGTTGCTATATCTCCTCATGCCTATAAGACGTATTGTTTTTTTAAACATAAAAAATGTTAACTATTAAATTTTTATAATCCGAGCATATAAAAAAATTATACAAGCCCCAAATTTGGCCAAAAGCTGTATTTAGATGCGTTAGATTTTGTTGCTATATCTTTAAGGTTTATCAGACTTATAGTTTTCCAATAAATCATTTTTAAGCATTATTTTTCTCAAATATGGCAAGCCATTTTTGACTTAAACTCCATATTTTTTACTGATTTGGCAAGCCATTTTTGCATGTATCACTTTCACACTTATTAAGCATTTTTCATTCCCTTAGTCCCTTTATTAATCAGAGGTCGCCACAACGGAATGAACCGCCAACATATCCAGCATTTGTTTTACACAGCGAATGCCCTTCCAGCCGCAACCCAACACCAGGAATACATAATGTTCAAGTCCAGTTTTTGACACTCATAAAGACTGTCATAGAAACATTGGGGTTGATTAGGATCACTCATATTGCCAAGAAGCTTTGATGTAACATCACTAACCTGTCAAATGTCCCCATAGCAATAAAACAGTATAACCTAGCAACCATTTAAAAATAGCAATATCTCTACATCAGAACATCGTAGGGACCGGGGCATTGGCTTGTTTGATCTTAATGTTCAATGACATGACAGTAAACTCATACTGTACACTATTAGATTGAGTGGATAAGTGCGTCATGTAGAGTGTCATATAGGACGCAACTTCTCACTCATTCGCTTTCCTTTGGCTTATTCCCTGCTTTATCAGGGGTCACCACATTGAGCGAAAACCACCCAACCACCCAAGATTCTATTTACACATTTTTTAATTATTACTGTCCTTTCCAATAAGTGTTGTTAGATGCTATTACTTAATGGAAATAGCAGCAGATATGTGCAACTTGGTAATTAACAGTAGAATATTTGAAAACAACTTCCACTATCCACATTGTTGGATTAAGTCCCAAAACACACTGGCAGCTGTAAGGGGTGTGCCTAGCACTTATAATGAAGATATCAAAAAAGGGGTCTGGTTGGGGTCTTGTTGGGTTATGGGCATGCTGTTTCGGTGCTTTCAAAAATCAATATACTTTATCTAAATTCACTTAGTGCAACTTTAAGTATTAAGTATTTTATTTAGACCTTTACATTAAGATTTATTTGGAAAAAAACAAAACTTTAGTAGACTTGAATGCAGGTCGATCATGTCAGATGGTTCCATCATAAATCCTGCACCACTGGTGTTGTTGGCTGAGAATATTTAGTAATTTTGATTTTTCCCCCTTGCTGAGAAACTAAAATATAAGGTGACATCATAAAAAAAGCATTGAATAATATTGGTGAGAGACTGCAAGTTTTGAATTCTTATATTTTCTAAATATGAATTTTCGTCAATGTTTTAGAGCACCTTAGCTTATTAATAGCCAGTCATTATTTAATAATAATTATTAATGGTGATTTCAGGGGAGGGCGACACAGTGGTGCAGTAGGTATCGCTGTCGCCTCACAGCAAAGAAGGTTGCTGGTTCAAGCCTCAGCTGGGTCAGTTGCCGTTTCTGTGAGGAGTTTGCATGTTTTCCCTGCGTTGACGTGGGTTTCTTGCGGGTACTCCGGTTTCCCCCACAGTCCAAAGACATGCGGTACAGGTGAATTGGGTTGGCTAAACTGTCCTTAGTGTATGGGTGTAAATGAGTGTGTATGGATGTTTTCCAGGGATGGGTTGCAACTGGAAGGGCATCTGCTGCATAAAACATATGCTGGAGAAGTTGGCGGTTCATTCCACTGTGGTGCCCCAGATTAATAAAGGGACTAAGCTGAAAAGTAAATTTTCAGGGGACCTTAATAAGTGCTGCAAAAGTAAACAAATTGCCCCACTGTTTATGCGGGACCCCGATAGCAGCTTCTAAATCTGGATGTTAGTTAGCAATATATCACAGTGAAATTTTCTTTCTAACGCCTTTTATTTATAAGAGAAGAATAAATAAAATACCT